CATAATATTCCTTAAATATATTAAGCAGTTTTCAGATACTTTCTTGCGGTTGCCAAGATACAAGATACTTTGAATATTGCTTTTGTTTGCTCTTTGATTTGGTTGCTTTATTTGTTACTTTTCTTCCAAACTTTTTTGTGTGCAGGATATGAAGGAAGCACGCAAGTAGCTACATTTTGGCATTGTTGGAATTTCATATTCATCGCATTCATATTTTAATTTAATTTTAAATGAAATGCGATACAAAGAGCTAACATAAAAGATAATGTTTGACTTCTTTATGTGAAGTGCAGACGAAGAGGCGAAAATATCAAACCTAAGGTATCTGTCTAAAGCTCTTCTGGATTAAAGTTCTTTTTATGGTACCATAATTATGTCAAGTGAATTTAATAAATTTTTTTAATGCTTTTTATTATACGAGCAGAAAGGAAGGAGTTTGAAGGATATGAAAATAGTAGTCTCCTTCAGAAAAGTAAACTCAAGTAACTTTAAAGAAATTCTTTGATTTATAATAATTATTTGAAAACAACAAAACTTTTGTAAATATTTTATATAATTTAATAGTATTAAATACTGGTAAAAATCGTCTTTATTATAAGAAAATAATTCATAAACATACAATTATAAAATATAAAATAAAATAAAAATGAAATAAGATAAAAATATGAAATAAAAAATATTAAAATTAATATAATTTTATTAGAATTAAATTAATCACTTTTATTCACCTATGAAATATAGTATGCTTAATCCAAAACTTTACGTTCTGCAAACTTATAATTCTGCTAACCTGAAGTCTAATCTAGGTCAAGCAAAAATAAATAATATTCACACAAAATAAGATTTAATAATAAATATTAAAATAAATAAAGCAAAATAATACTTTCGACAATTTTTTGAATCAGAAAGTTTCTTAGGATCATAAATTACTTATCTTCAGAAATAAAATATTCTTAATGTGCCTTTTAATAAACTCCGTAAGGAGTGTTATTTCAAGAATTTGTTCCAAGGAATACTCTGTTTCTTTGTGTGAGTGCTTATAGTTCTAGTAGTTTGAAACAACTGCACTATATCCAGTAGCGTTGTTACGGTCACTGCTAGTAATTCTTAGGACCTGATCTCATCTTGATACAATGTTTAATCAGGAAGCTTAACATATTGTGAATGAGGTGTACTAGTTACATACGCTTTAAACCGAACTACTTTGAAATGCAAACTGCGTATGTCTCCGAAAAATAATATCGTTGACGATTTTTTTGAATCAAAAAGTTTCTTAGAATCATAAATTAGTTCCCTTTAGGAACAAAATTCTCTTAATGACCTTTTTAAGAAAGTCCGTATACCATAGAGCGTAAGAGGGTAGATATAATTTGTTGTTGATTTTTTCAATCTTCAATAAAATGCAACTCAATGAAAAATATAAACTGACAATAGATTTTTAGTTCGATCTTTCAATTTCAGTAAGGAGTATTCTTATACTAACTAAGTATTACTCAACCTTTTGCGATAATAGCGACTATAAAGTCAGAGTACCCAACTCATTTCTGTATATAATGCAGGAATAGAGCAGAAAGATGGCTACCTTATGAGTTCCGAAATTAACCAAACAATCCATTTTTACATTTAATAAATATTAAAATTATCTTTTATTATAAATAAAAATTTTATATCTTAAGTTTACTAAATCAAGAAAATAATTTTACATCCTCTGTTGTCATGTAAAGCAAAAATATTTAAATCTATTTTGGTACAAAATTGCCTATTATTTGACATTTAGGCTAATTAATCATGAAAAATTTATTGAATGAATTTCTGCCACGTGCTGCTCAGCAACATGTACAACAACAACAACAATCAACAACAGCTACTAAAGGAACAACAACAAAGTAAAATGTTTCATTAAAGACACCAAATATAAAATTCAAAACAACATGAACCAAAATATCAAAATTAATTCAACAAATCGTCCTCTGTGCGAAATAAATTTAGAAAATATAAATAAAATTGTTTGCATCGAGATAAGTCCATTAAAATCTCGTCTTTGGGGGGTAAGTGCGGCACTGTGCATCACGTGTCAACACCACAAATTACCCATTGGAAATTAGTTTTGGGCATAGAGGTTAGTTCTAAGGGGAAGGTTTGTTCAGAAAATAAAAGCCTTTAAAGATAACAGCAACTTTGAGAAGGCTTGAAATGTTATTGAGATATAAGTTTTAGGCCAGGGACCCTGAATTTTTTTTTACTAAAGATACTTCCATGTACTAGACCTATAACCTAAATAGTTTGTTAGCATATTTTATTATGAATGATCAATTCTATAAAAGTGCTCATTTACATTTTGATTCTAACAATCTCAAGTACGATATTCTTTTAAAGATTTTAAAGAAATTGAATCTATCATTATTTTCTGTAAATAGCATAGAATATATTTTAATACAACTTATGTGTCAATAACAGTAGATTGATCCGATCAAAAAATTCATAAAGAATAGAGCTCTGCAATTATTTACGAAAATTAATAGACTTACCAACACCGCGTTGTCAAATCTCAGAATAGTTACAGTCTCTTCGGGGAGGTATGCAGATCTGAGGTCAATTATTACTTAGTCTGATGAAGTGATAAACAATAATCCAGTCAAGGCATATAGAGGGGTTATGAAAAACAGTTAATAATAGGGAGTAAAAGTGCTCAAGTGCACTAACTCAACTAGCTTTAACATATTAATAAAAGTAGAATATACTTTAGAATCCATAAAAAAATTTATATACATATTTTTTAACAATCTATTGTGTTTCTGGAAGAGCTATAATCAACTACATTGAACCAACATCGGTTCAATTGAATTGTATATAAAATACAAAAATTTCTTCTATATGGTATTAATGTGTGCGACAAAGTAATAAGTTTAGGCAGAGAATAATAATAAACACAGACCCACGATCCACGTACTATTATTATTATCATAAATAATCATCTATTTATCATTTAAATTTAAAAAAGACTTGTGCAGCTGGAATTTGTCTCCAAAACTTCGATAGAATAGTAAAAACAGTTTTATATGACTGCTTAAAAATGCTAATTTTAAATGATCTTAGAATTATTCTTAAAATCAATATAAAATTCGCGAACATATCCCAAAAATATTTAATTTTGTAAAAAAATTAAATATTCTACTCCACTCCTTTAAAAATTTGAATTAAATCAAAGTGGAGTCAAACTAGACAGTAATGAGTCTATTGTGACCGAAAAGTTTCCGGAAATTTTAAATAAAACGCAAAATTCTTAATCTTCATCAATATTTATTTTATCTCCTTCAAAATATGCTCCATTAGAAGCGATACACAAATGCCAACGTTTCTTCCAATCATCAAAACATTTTTTATAGGCGCTTTCCGGTATGGCTTTGAGTTCCCTCTGCGAATTCTGTTTTACGTCTTATATGGATTCAAAACGCGTTCCTCTGAGTGGTAATTTGAGTTTGGGAAACAGGAAAAAGTCACACGGTGCAAGATCAGGTGAATACGGTGGCTGTTCGATGGTATTTATTGAATTTTTGGCCTTAAAATCGTTGATAATGTTGGCTCGGTGCGAGGGAGCATTATCGTCATGAAAAATCCATGAATTATCCTTCCACAATTGAGGCCGTTTACGGCGG